AGACAACAGTCGAGACTCCGACCCTTACTATTGGTATACCCCTACTGCGGTAGGTGCACCGCAGATACAGGGTCTACGACAGGGATCTGTGGATGGAGGTGCCTGCCACCGTGCTCGCTAAACGGTAATGGGGGGAGACTCGAGAGGGTGCATAGTACAGGTACATTGCTACCATGTACCTACCCGCCTAATCTCGGTACATGTGTACATCTCTCCATCAGGTGGGTGCTCGGGGAGAAAGAGAAGCCGTGGCATCCAGGGATCACCCACGTTTGCCGACTCTTCAACCTGGGACGGTCGTCAGATCAGACCAGTGGCGGCAGCAGAGGTCTGCAAGCCAAAAAAAAAAAAAAAAAAAAAAAAACCCGATGACAGTCCGCTCGAGTTCTAGACGAAGGATCCCAAGTGCCTGCCTGCCTTCCGCATCATTAGCCTACCTCAAACTCAAACACCCTTCAAAAGTCATCTCCACTCGCCAAGAAACGGAAGAGAGGAAAAGGAAAAGTCCCAACAGAGGAAAAAGCAGATTCTCGCACAAGGAAAGAAAATAAAAAAGGTGGGGGGTCCGGCGACGACTGGCCGCGAAACCAACTTATTGGCCCCTAACACCCCGGTCCCACATCAGAATACGCTAGTCCATCTTGAGCTTCACAGACATCCCATCCATGTCGCGCTGGTCGAGGCCACGCTAGGTAGGTAGACCGTAGGTACCACGCGCGGCACGCCACAAACCTCCCGTCACCAACGAGGAAGGTCCGGGGGAGAGAGCGGCACACCACCAAAACGACGCGGGACCGGGCCGGACGAGACGAGTGCCAGTGCCAGGCACTCTGGAGGCAGAAACCCCCTCCCCCATTACCCACCTACCTGCCTGCATTTGCAATGCAAGGTACCAGCGACAGATGCAGAGCACGTGCATCTGTCACGTGCCGTGCTGTGAGGGATCCATACATACATTGTACACGCATGCATACATGCATACATACACACAATGTACATAGGTAATCGTACATACAGTGCCTTCTTTCTATAGGTGTGTCGATACGTAGTGTTGGAAACCCTACACCGAGGCTTGGGAGCACGAGGCAAAATACCTCGTCGGATACGTGCCCGCTTATGCCTCTATGTAGTGGCATACAGAGGCACTTACTTACTCTATTCGTACCTGCAGCACTTAGGTAGGTACGAATCAGGTACTCCTCCGTAGGGCAATCAGTACTTACCTACCTAGGTAGGTGACCCCAGTCATACAGGTACGTACCCTAGCAGTCGGACGGACGCAGGGACCAGCCACTGGTCCAAATGCCCCTTCCCACTTTTAGGAATGCAATGCTCCTGCTGTGTCGCCTGTTGTGTTCTCCCGGCCTTTTGACCAGAAGCGTTACAGGAACAACTGACACGCAGGAAAATTAAGCACCAGCGGTTTGCGTGAAACAACAAAACAACTCCTCATCCCTGCTCCGGCACTTCTTCTGGCCGCCTTATCGCCTTTTTTTTTTTTTTCCACCTCTTGCCCCCTTGTTTTCTTCAAGGAGAAAGGGAGGGGCGGCGAAGTTCCCCAGCGGAGTAGGACCTCCTCCTGTTCAGTTGGTTCATCTGCCGAACGAGGACGACGGCGACAAGAATCGAGGGACTTCAGTCGAGGTCGACTGTCATAAGACCAAAAGGCATGAACAGAGGCATGTGCTTGTCGACGTGACAAATGATCATCACCTGTCGGAGACAACGAGGGCTTGAAACCACAAACCACCCGCCCTCTCATCCCATCTAAACGCTCTCCAATTGATTACGCAAGCTCGATCCACCCATCTCAGCATCGACAACATCCATCCTCGCTTCTACACGCCTCTCGCCCGCATCCAAGGGTCTTGCGGAGGCGCAGACGCAGATAGAGACACAGACACCGACGCGGAAGCCAGTGCGCTTGCCACCGCATCTGAGAGAGCATTGGACGATTCCAGAAAGATGTATGTCTTAGCGGTCCATCTGTGTCCGTGTCGACGCTGCCGTCCCAAAGAAGAGAAGCAGAAAGGGGGGGGAGGGGGAAAGGAAGAAAGAAAAAAAAGGGACATCACCGCCGTCAACCGGGGAATGTCTTCATATACTGCACGGTCAACCAGGAGGCCTGTCTACAGACCAATCTCATTCCTTGCCGAGCCCTTGCACTCAGAACGGTGCCGATAGAGACGGCCCGGCCAGCTTGCCGACCAGCTTGCCGACCAGCTTACCGACCAGGTTTACGACATTGTCTATGTCTGTCTCGCCGACGGCATGGCTGATTGGGTTCGGGCATCTCAATCCACAACGCTCATGAATCACCGCTCCCTAACAAGCCTCGGCTCCATGATTTGTCTTACCTATTCTACTTAGGCATACTTATATCGGTACCGTGTATGGGTGTCGTGTGGGACAGACAAGGCCGAACAGGTCGGATCCGGCCAGCTCAATTCCCGCCTCGAGGCATTGATCGACGCTCCCGCCAATCCCACTCCAAACCTTGTGCGTTGTATTCTGTATCAGCATGCTACCGGTATCTCGACCCGTTGGCTCCCCTCGTCGTGCCGTCGGGTGACGCGGTATGTGTCTGGGACTCTACCTAGTCTACTTCAGATCCCAAGACCTGACAAACCCGCATTCAAGCCAATGGAAAAACTTACCGGCCCTGTGCGGTCACCGGTGCGAGTCGGATCAGTCGCAAAGTCTATTTGCCCGCCACCCACCGTGCGTGCGTGCGTGCGTGCGTGCGTGCGAGCGCACGCTCTTTTTAGAATCCTTCCTAGGCGCCAGGGTGATACGCAAGGAATAGGGGTTCGCTCTCTCCTTTTGCCAGTTCCAACATTACACTACTATCGCATCATCCACCTGTTCTCATGGTTCGCAGAGGTCTGAGAGCCGGCCACGTCGATTTTGCAAACCGAACAACTGTCCATGAACGCTTTTGCGACTGGATTTCCATGGATTGTTACTTCTTTCCAATTTCCGGCACCCAAGATTTTACTGCCCGGACGACTATCTCATTCTAGACCTCTTCAGACTCGGCAAAACGCCGACATGGTGACTGGGGCGCCGGATCGGGGTGCAACGCGTCCGTGGTGCGAAATGGGTTTGAATGAGCAATATCTGGCTGGATATGCACTATATCCCCCACGGTAGGGGGTTAACACAGGCATGATGTACATGCCTGTGTTCATCAAGATCACCACAAAGAGTCAGAGATGAAGCTTGCTCTCTTGTCGAGGATCACACGGAGATCCCACGATCCGACGGCCAAAACAACAGGGAAGTACGCGGTGCGTGATGTGCGCACGCGCTCATCTCCCCCATCCATAAGCTGCTTTGCAACGCGGGGCTAAGACTCGCATTTTGGGAGAGAAGGGCGATCTGAAGAAGATCCGATCCTCTAGCACGCACATTGCATTCACTCTCATTTCCTCCCCGGCGAAACTCGAACCAGCCGGTCTCCCATAAGGTCAAGCCAACCGCCGATGCAACTCAGATCCAAGCTAATTGATAAATACTGGTTGTTTCCAAGGAACTGGCGCAGCCTTTTCTTAAATACACGTTCGTGCTGCCCGACATGCAGGGTCATGGTGGCTTGCCGCCATTGTCTCGTCACCGCCCCCCTCCCCCCCACTCTCTTCCCTTTCCCTGCCAGCATTCATTTTTTTTTTTTTCTCAACGCACTTTTCCATACCTCCAATACCGATACCTGTTTCACAATGCACCGATCGATCTGGTCCTCCTCCATCTATTTAATGTAATGTGGGATGTGGAGCGGCCCTTGGGATTCAGAAGCTACCGCCACTGTGTGGCAGCCTCTCAGAAAAGGATCGCTGCCGGACACCGTTCCCTCCCTCCGTCTTATCCGTAGCGGGGCCGCTCTCGCCGGAAGGGCCCAGGGGTATGTGGTAGACAACATCGCTTACATGAAATCGCGAGGCTGTCTTTCCGCTTTCTCGACGTTGCCACTACCAACAAGTCAATACACCGAGCTGTTACGAAAGAAGGCCAGGGGGAAGGCACCTTTCCGGCGGCGCTTTTACTTGACACCTCCCCTCCGTTAGAGGAGGCCTTTTCTTGACAAATCTACGTTGGAAGCTGCTGAACAAAACACGGGCATGCCAAGGACGGCAAAAAGCCGCTCAGAGGCGGCCGTGGAATGGTAGCAGTCGGTCCTGGAAGACAGCCGAGTCACGCATCCAAGACGACCCCTCGTAGGGTTCGCACAGGTGTACGCAATAACACAATGACACAGCAGGAAACGGAAACCACGAACGCAGACATCGGGCTATTGTTCACTCGCACCGACAAGGCTCTTTCTCGCCCGATATAGACGCCGTTCCCCCGGTTAACGGGAGCAAAGGGACACACGTGTTGCACAGTGGCATTTGCCCTAGCTATTTTGCATCGTTACGATACGATCAGCAACCTACCTGGCCTCCTGGCGCCACTTTCCGATATGGCCTTCTTCGAGCAGGATTTTACATTGGGAGGCACTAAGTAGTTGCACCAGTTACGGCCAGGATAGGTTAGGTCAGAAATGGCAGGTATGGGTTTAGACGTCGCAAGGAAAGGGAATTGAGTATCGTCTCGGCTCCCCTTCCCCTTTCTAGCTTTTTCTGGACCTTTTGACCGGTTTCCTTCCATCAAAATAGTTCACGTAACTCAGTATTGGTCCATGTTCTTGATTGTGGGCTACTCGCACAAGTGAGCGCCTTGAAGAGAGCTTGGGAGGATACTCGTACGAGGCGAAGCGGGGACTCAATGAATCAACCGGAAACCCCCCGGCCCATTGATATGTACTGAATATGAATCTCTTTTATGGATATTCTGCTACCGAACAAAGCCATCTTGGTCAGCGCATTGTAAAATACCCTTACCTCATGAGTGTTTCCAGGGGACCTCCGGACGATAAAAAAAAAGATAAAAAATTAATAAAAAAACCCCCCCCCCACCGTCCGGCATGCTTCTTGACAGGCCGCCTCCGCATGTAAGCATATTGTAATCAGGCCTCGGTAACCCTAATCGGCCTCCATGTTCTCGTTGCGCCACAAACGCGCGGGTAGCAATGACGTCGGGAAGCTTGGTCAGCATGTATCGACGCCTACGGCCAAATTGTGAGGTGGTCCAGCAGCAACAGCCATCTTCCAAGCAACCGCCTCCGCAGGGTTCTCTCGACACCCTCAGTATTATGCGTTTTCGGAAAAACCGGCCAGCGTGCGGCTTCGGTGGTGACTCTTGGAACTGCTGACGCTAGGTGATGCCGCTGAGAAGTTATCCAAAGTGCTATTGAACAAGATGGTTTCTGGATTGAGCGGTTTGCGTTTGCAGTTACGACTGGCCTGGATAAAGTTTTCATGAGTTGGGGTCTCTGTTGAATGGAAACATTGGATCATTTCCCGAGCCTCCCCCTACTTGGTGGTCCTCGTGCCAAGGAAGACCAGTTGATGGCCACCGTCCGAGTCAATTTGCACCCACACCAACGAACGAGGCAAAGGCAAATCCATCAGCACAATGCTCAGGAAAGGGCCCGGGCTCCTAGCGCACGCTCCCGAACCGGTCGGGTGCGATTCACAAACTGGGAACAGAGAGTTGAACCATGTCCGCGGAACTGCATAGTAAGCATGCGAGAAGCAGTCCTGGACCATGGCACATCCTGCAGACATCTTGGATGTGACTGGGACGGGAGTTGCCCGTTAGGCGATGGGGGATTACCAATGACGCGCCTCTCAACTCTAAAAAAAAACGAGTCGTCAGCTTCGAGTCAGAAAGATGTACGGGAGGGCCTGTCCTTTCTCAACAACCGCTCGGGGCGCACGATGTCTCGAAATGAGCAATGCAGAATTCCGAGGCATCACGCTGGCAAGTTTGTGAACAACTGAAAGGGCAATAATGATATTGAACAATTGCATTCATTTTGCTGTTGATCTCTTGGAAGACGGGGAAAGGGGGGCCTATTTAAGAGGGTATCAAATTTGTTATCGCTCACTACTTGAATGCAATACTTAGTTTCATGAATCGGGATTTTGCCTCCCTCTCTCAAGTACTGGCGATCCGTCAAAGATGTGATCCGGGCGCTCCACGTCTGGCACCTCCTCTAACACGCTGTTGCCGGGGCCCTCTCTCTGGCCCTTGGCCAACCCTTTGGCCGTGGTCATCGTATCGTTCGTCATGGCGCCCTTGGAGTAGCCGCGCGACGTGTCGTCGAGGTGGTGACAGTCGCACGAGTTCATCTTGGTGAATGCGAGCAGTTTGTTGAGGACGATGAACTCGACCTTCAGCTTGATGCTGTAGATGAACGGCTTGCTGGTGGTCTGGAAGATGGCGTGGTTCGTGTGCTCGAGGAGGATGAGCCCGACGTCTAGTAGGAAGACGACGAAGAAGAGACTCAGGAGGTAGATGCATATCAGCCGCGCCGTCCGCGTCTTGAAGGCGAACAGCGGCCTCAGGTTGAGGAAGCCCTGCCACGCAAAGACGCCTGTGATGAGCGTCTCCTGCAGCGAGAAGACGACGATGGAAACCTTTTCGTACACGACGTACCGACGGAGCCACGCGGCCTGCTCCGTCGGCGGCGCGGTCAAGGCCAGCGCCCAGAGCACGGCCATCGGGAAGTGCAGCACGAACGCGTCGGCGATGATGAGGCCGAGCACGGAGCGGACCCAGCGGCGGCTGTAGACGACGAGGTGCAGGCGCGACCACAGCACGACGGACTGGCCGGTGACCATGGCGACCCAGGCGATCACCGCGAGGGCGCCGGGGATGACGGCGGTGTGGGAGAGGTAGTGTACCAGCGAGGAGACGGCGTGGACGAGGATGCCGCTGTCGGCGACGATCATGCTCCAGAAGTAGCGACCTTGGCGTCGGCGAAAGGTGGCGAAGATGAAGATGTATATCTCGGCCGCGTTGTAGATGCCCGCCGTCGTCAGGGCTGCGACCGCCATCAGCTCGTTCTGCGTAAGTACGACGGCGCCATTGACGTATTCCGTCATGACTGTTCCCACTATCACCGGCTTGGGTCTCCCTTTTCCCTTCCTGTCCTTCTCTTCTTCTCCTTCACCAGGAGCGAGGCTGGCGTGATAGTGTCTCCAGAGCAAGGGGGGGTGCGGGGGGTGCAAGGCATGCGAATCCCCCGCGGGTCGTGTCGTTCGGCAAGCCTGGGGTCAATTGCTCCTCCTGCTACTTTGTCTGTTCACGCCAAGACCGTTCTATTCCTTTTCTTTTTCTTTTCGTACCACTCCCTTTCCTGGGATCCGCCACATAAGGGGGGGAGGGGTGTTCGGATAAGGCGTCTGCTCTTGGCTCCCTCAGCAGCCCGAACAAGTCGAACTAGACGGGCGGCGGTTTATGAGGATTTGAACGCCTCTAGAAAGTGCGTGTTGGGCTGCCAAGAGTCTCTGGCCCGGTTGAGTTTGGAGCCATCGGATGTGGGACGTGAGGCCGGGAGAACATTGGAAGATCCAAGCGGACAGACCGAAAAGGCTGTGCGCTGGCCGCATGGCGCCTGCCGTCTTATAAAGCATACAACGCTTCGTCTCTTGGTCGACAGCCTGACATAAGGTTCCAGGACTTGACTTGAAACATCGTACGGCTTGGATATCGGAAGTCTCGCAGTAGTATGGTCGGCACTGTCTAGCTCCTTCAAGCCCGGCTCTCTGCCCTTCATGACTCGTTCTATAGCGAAACCAATCAGCAGCAATTGGTTTGTGGGATGTAGGTCACGCATTCTGTATGAAATGGCCTATTGGTTCCTCCCGCGTCTGGTCTGCATCCAGACGTGCCGCGATGGCTAGTCGGGGCAGAACCTAAACTTATCGAGTGGGGGTTGTCAACGTTCATCGCGCCAAGTTTCTCTCGGCCCCTGGTGCGGAAGACCAGTATGCCCTAAAGTTCACGTCAAGATGGACTCAGGTGGTGGCTGGGTAGCCGATAATGTTGAGAGTGAACCGCAGCAGAGTGCGTCGGTTCACATCTGAACTTATTCGTCGTTCTGGGACAGTGATGAGAGACTGGAACATCCTACGAGCGAGTTGTGATCGAACCAGCTCTGTTCTCGTGCGAACCTAACTCCACCTCAATGCCTCGGCATACGGCATGTGTGCGGACCCCTGACATATCGGATAGCGTCGAACTATGCTGCGCATCTCCACAAGCGGCCTTTGTGTCCGTTTGTGGTTGTCATGTTACAGCATGTCAGTTCAACTTGAGAAGGACTGGGGGATCGTTGCATTCGTACCTCAGTTCAACTTAGGGACGGAATACAACTTTGTCCGGCCAACCCGAGTCTGCGGAATTCCCCAGACCCGGACTATTCCAGATATAATCCGTGTAAGCCCTCCGTGATAAGGCGCACTTTGTCCGGCCAACCCGAGTCTGCGGAATTCCCCAGACCCGGACTATTCCAGATATAATCCGTGTAAGCCCTCCGTGATAAGGCGCACTTTGTCCGGCCAACCCGAGTCTGCGGAATTCCCCAGACCCGGACTATTCCAGATATAATCCGTGTAAGCCCTCCGTGATAGGGCGCAGAGATTTCTTTCGCACCCAGCCCGATGTCCTTATCCAATGTGCGGTGGCTCGAGTTGTTGCCAATAACTCCTAGCCAAAATTGACAATCAACGGCCTAATTTAGCATGAGTTGAAGATGCTGTGTCCGACGCAGGGAATAGTTGTCAAGTGGGCGGGCGTGGGAAATATGGGAATCTACATCATGAAGTTTCCTGCGGGTTGTCGTTTCGGTGACCCTCTGACCGGTGTGTCTGCATACAAAAGGCCTGCTGCCAAGACTTGTATATACAAACCTCCCGGCATAGGCCCAAAGGGCCTAACGGCTTGGAAATGATTGTCAAGTCATGATAAACCAACCGCTCTGAACGTTTTTGACAAGAGTTGTGCAGGACCTCGGCACAACTTAAAACGCTGCATGCGACCATGCCCGCAAACCACCTTGATCATGATGACATATGATACTATTCTCGAAAAGAGGAAACGTAACATGAGCTCATCCGGCAATTTACGTCTATGCGCCATGAGGTTGACCTGTCTGTGCGCGGCAGTGGCCGGCTGACTCTTTGCGACGACTTCGATCTACTTTCCAGACGTGTCTATTGCCGAATAAGCAAGGGACCCGCTGAGCTCTGAGGCTCCTGACGAGAATGTGGAGGGAGCATACAGGATTCCCCAGTTGATTATCAACCAGCCAGTACGATACGCCTTCATAAAACACCTTGTCCTGCGGCATTCTTGGCATACGACCTTGCTTTGACCAGCTTAGGAGGCTCTGGCTAGCTAGCAAGAAGTTGGCTAAAAGCTTCAGGTCTGGAGAACTGAGGGTCATTCGTTGGTGGTTGATACCATCGAGACAACATATGAACTCCTGCATCACGTGTTTTTACCTCCGGTGCGTTGACAGCTTGCAGCTTGATGCATCTTGCTTGTCGATTCCTCGACTCATTGTTATTAACTGCCGATGAACTGCCTCAGTGAAGCTGCCCCGAACTACGAGTAACGTTGAGCTGTCATCACCCGCGGGACGTGTTGTAAGGTTTCAGCAAGCATCTAAACGCTTTCAGTGAATTGGCTGCATCGGTCTCTTTCACAGCTCCAGATCGATGTCGACGCAGCCGGCTCCGGCCCAATCAGTCGTCGGCCCATGGCAAGCACAACAACCGGCGGTCAGACCTCTTGGCAGGAATGGCAATTCCGGTCCCATGTTCTGTGCAGGCAGGCTGTGGCGTGATTTTCACATGAGCCTCGTCGTAGGTTGATTCATATGATCCGCAGCGCGCTGGCCCCTTTGTGTGCCGACAAAGATCTGGACCTGAACCGTCCTCAGTCAAAAAACGTTGGGGATGATGAAACATTTATTTTTAAAAAAAGAAGAAGAAGAAGAAGAAAAAAAAAAAAAAAAAAAAAGCGCTCCGCCGCAAGTAGCTTGTGAGGGCTTGGAGACATAAGTTTGACTTCTGAAAGCTCAACAAAACAGCCCCTGCCCACTATGCACGATCGATGCCACGTCGCTTGAAGAATTGGCGCGGAGGTAAGAGTCCTCATTGTCCATTGTCTATCCGGTTAGTACGGGGAGGGCGTGATCTGGCTTGCCTTTGCTTCAGCCGGAGCACAGGTAAGAATCATCAAGCATAAAACAAGACAAGAGCGAATCGGGATTTGAGTGATGGTTCGTGAAATGCAGTAACAAGTTCCTGGGAGTTTGAGGGGAGTGTTCTTTGCTGACTCATCGAGTACCGTCATTAGACACGTGACTGACGTGAGGGTTTCGCGCTAGCCCTGCGCCGCTGACCCCACTTGCGCCATTGCGAGACGCGACTCTTGGAAAAGGAATGCAATTCGCCCGGCTGCATCGTACCGTATGGTTGCATGTCCATGCTTTTCGCTGCCCCAGCTCAATCGATTTGAAGCTGGGGAAAGAAGATATGCCTGCCGATATCATCAGTTTGCTTTCGAGCCCGTCCTTTGGACCTTCTCTCGACCGAGTGGAATCCTCACCATCCCATCCTCCAATACCAGCAGCAATCAATGTTGACACGAGGGTGTCGGTCTTTGACGATGAGGATGTCTTCGACTTGACAGCTGATACGCCCGAGGCAGCTTCGCGACCGCCATCCCTATTCGAGACAGCCAATACTATATGCTCCCCTGGTACAGGATCCGGAGCGAAACGACCACGAGAAGAACAAGCCCCCATAGACACGCCCGTCTACTTCAATTCGGACGACTTTGATACAACTATCGACCTCGAAAGCAGCCTACCGATAGCTAATAGCACATTTGATGAACCCCGGGATTCAAAGAGACCAAGATTGTCGCCCCCACGGCGGAGCGGAAGCAGCAGTCCTTCCGCTCGTTCACTTTCTGTCGCGGAGCAGCTGGGGCGTCCGCCAGTTAAGCCACCAGGGGGACCACGGCGGATTCGTGCCATCGTTGACCCAGTCGAATTTTCTAGCTCACCGGTAATTGCCTTCGGGCCGGTGCTGGCTGCCACAACGGCCAACGAAAGACTAGAATCCGACGAACCATCCACTGCGCTGCCACCCTCCGCCCAACCTGTAGTCAACAGGCAAAGTCCTGAAAGGCCTACAGTCGCCTCTGGCACCCGTGTGCAATATGAATTGACCTCCGACCCCTTTGCAAGCTCGCCTTGCCCCCCATTGAAACCAGCGGTGGAACCATGTACAATAATTTTGGACGATGACGATGATGACCCGTTCGCCAGTTCACCACAACAAGCACCAGTGCAGACCACGAAGCCTCCAGAATGCAACAAAACCGGCGTGATGCTGGAGAAGGGAAAACAAAAAGTCGCTTCGCCAAGACGGAAGGCCAATTGGGACCCGATCTCCAGCTCCGCGCCCGAACCCAGAACGAGGGCTGACCCGTTCGACAGCCCTTCGCCGCCGCCGCCACGAAAGACTCTCGCGAAGGCTGTCAGTGCAATCATCGACCTCAGCGACACTGAGAATGTACCTACTACTCTCGATATCGATTCCGATGAGGAGTTCCCGGACCTTGAAAACTTCGACCTTATGAAACTCAAAGCCCGATTAGACACCAAGACTACAGCCCCCCGAACCGCCTCCAAGGCATCGTCGAAAACCACTACCAAGTCGACATCTGCCAGGATCGCAACCAAGACATCGACCGAAGACAAGGCGAGGCAGAGAGAGGCCAAAGCAGCGGAGCGCGAACGGGAGAAGGAACGGAAGAAACAAGAGAAGGAGGTGGCCAAGGAGCAGAAGGCCAAAGAGAAGGAGCGTGCTGCTGCTTTGGCAGAGGTTAACAAAATCAGGACCGACAAGAAAGTATCGACGCCGGAGATGATTGCGGATCTCCCAGTGAGCTTACCTGCCGCCGTTACGCTGCAGATACAAACATTGCTGAAAGACCTCGATGTGCAACACACCACATGGGACAGTCCGGTGGACAATGTTGTGAAGTGGAGAAGAAAGGTCGCCAGTAAATTCAACGATGAGCTGGGCCACTGGGAACCGATTCCCATGCGCGTTGAGCCCGAAAAGTTCGCTCTCGTCATTGTTACCGCAACCGATTTCGTGACATGTGCTCTTGGCCCCGAAGGAAACGATCTAGAGGCCCACGCTCTGAAGATGAAGCGGCACTTCCCGCAGGAGCAGCTCATCTACGTCATCGAAGGTCTCAACCCGTGGATGAGGAAGAATCGCAACGTCCGCAACCGCCAGTTCGTCTCTGCAGTACGGAGTCATGGGGACGATGCCGCTGATGATGCCTCCACGAGTGGTCAGCCGCGGCGGCGTAAGAATCAACAGCCGCAAGAGTATGTCGACGAGGACTCGATCGAGGACGCTCTGCTCCAATTACAGGTGATGCATGGCGTTCTGATCCACCATACGAATGCCGCCGTCGAGACAGCGCAGTGGGTCGCCATCTTCACCCAACACATCTCGACGGTGCCGTACCGCAAACAGCGCGAGGCGACCAACGCGGCCGGCGCTGGCTTCTGCATGGAGACGGGCCAGGTCCGCACTGGCGAAGACGTCAAGGACACCTACGTCCGGATGTTGCAGGAGATTGTACGCGTCACGCAGCCCGTCGCCTACGGCATCGTGTCCGAGTTTGGGACTGTGCCAGAGTTGGTGAAGGCGTTGGAGGAGCGAGGGCCGTTGTGTCTGGAGAACTGCAGGAAGAGCACAAACAAGGACGGCGGGTTCTCGGATCGGGCGGTCGGCAAGGCCATTAGCAAGAGGGTTTACAAGGTATTTACTGGACGTGATGAATGGAGTACAGACGTGTAGTATTTCAACGGTTAGGCACATGAATTATGGCATATCATGAGATGGAAGGCATGTTTGTAGGATGGGTAAAAACCGTTGTCGACCCATAGCATTCGGGACACTCGGACATGTGGACGATGAGGGCTATACACCATAGGAGAGAACAAGAAGAAAAGATGATTATGATCCAAGAGTTATATTCAGATACTACCTGACCGATCAGACCAGGCCAACTTGCCTGTGGCAGTGCAGCAGGAAAACCTAAGCCCCCTAGATAACCCTCAATATAGTCCCGCGGAGTAGAGTTTTTATTTTACACCACAGCCACGCCCTCATATAAAGGGCCGCCGAGGTGACTGCTGAGTACTGTCCCCAGCTGGACGCAGGATAGAGGGGTTCGAACCCTCCAGCACTCATCAGGATGCATGTTTCGTGCGACGACGCATCACATCTTGGTTCAAGATCTGCAAGCACGCTCCTAGACAGGTTAGCTTAGGCTCAAACGACCATAGCCAAGAGAAATATCAAAAAGTTGGGAGCTTTTGTCAGACAGCGGTTGGACGAAGTTGTTTCCACATGTATCGTTTCGGTACAGGTCTGTGAATATTCTTGCCTCATCATGAAAAGCAGGTGGGTGTGAAGAGAATAGGAAAGCAGACAGAACATACCTTTGGTCATGACGGAGAATGTACCGAACCTGGATGAAGAGATGTGCGACGCACAAGTCCCCCATATACAAATCCCAAAGCCCTCACGTGTTATCGGCACATCGACACAATGCTGAAACATCAACACTGTTAAGAGTTCGAAAACCAATACATGGCTGAGCCGAGGAACAGCATCCGTCAGGCCTCGTCGTGCTTGCGCTTCTTTGACGTGGGTGCAAAAAACGAACTGAGCGTCTTTTGCTTCTCGTCGAATTCCGCGCTGCCAATACCGCCGCCGGTCTTTTTGAGCCCCCGAAGGTGGTCAGTGCAATTGACTGCGACGGTCTTGAGCGCCAGACCGGGCCAGTTGACAGTGGGCACCGTTTGCTTTGACGCGCTCAGTACCGACGTTGTCGTGATGTGCATCTCGACGTAACCGGTATTGCTCCACGAGAAATGCATGCGATCCTCTGCGACAGGCTCTAGAGCAGCAAAATTCCCAACGGTGCAGAGAACTCTCGCCAACACGCCCAGGATGATGCCATGAGCAACGATGACAATGCTTTCCGCGCCGTCCCCGGACTCCGCTTCCATACAAGCGAATATAGGAGCAAGGTAGTCCTCAACGAACCGCTCAGCGCGCACACGCATAGCACCTTGGTCCTCTGCACCCTCGTGCCTGGGTCTGTCAGAGCCAGAGCCAGAGCCCATGCGGGCGCCAAACTTCTGCCCCTCACCTGTGCCAAAATGCTTTTCCCGGAGCTCAGGAAGCTGCACAACCTCAATCGCGCCGGCTGTCGACAACGAGGCGGAGGGGTGGGAGGCGGCAACGGCATCGCGGACCGCCGCGGCAGTGCGGTGGGCACGTTGAAGGTTCGAAGTGAAGATGTGCGTGATGCCAGCCGAGGCCGAAGCGGTTCGCGTGGCGAGGTGGGCCCCTAGACGTCTAGCTTGGAGGACGCCATGGGACGTAAGAGGCGCGTCGCGAGAACCTGCACTGCAAGAACACAAGCAAAATCCAGTTAGATGAGGGATCTTCGTGAGGCAGAGGAAGCCCTCGACCAGAGCTGGTGCGAGGTGGAATGCGCGTACAAGAGGTTCGCGACGTTGTCCACTGATTCGCCGTGGCGGACGAGGTAGAGATGAATTGCGCCCATGGTGCACACGAGAGCAGCTACATGGTCTTGCAAGCAAAGCCCGTCGACCGTCGACCCGCCCGCCTTGTGCTGTCGGCTTCTTTTCCGAGAAGTGAAGCGAGCAACGTAGAAAATGATCGGTGATGGTGGGAGGAAAGGAAGTGGTAAAAATTCAACGCCCCATCAGAGTTTTGTAGGTGCGTAAAGTGGAGAGCTACCTGCTTTATTGCATTGTAGGGCATACATTCCCCAATCCAGTATTTATCTGCTTCGTCATCGCCGATAACCCCGATATAGAAATGATTCCCCCACCGTCGCGTTGTTCCAACCCGGCTTCAGACATCGCGCATCCACTTTTGCTACCTAGCCTCCTCGGGCTTAAATTCTTTCCTGATCCTCATCATTTCTGCCTCCTTGCACTCTATTTCGAAACCGACAAACCCTTGACAATAAAGTCGGCCGCCTCTGTTGTCGATGTATTCGCCTGCCGTGTACCCATTAGCCGAGGAGTCTGTATTGGCATATGCGTATTGTCTTACCAAGGTAGATCGTGGACTCGACCCAGTCTTTAACCTCAGGTTTATAGCAACAGCACTTCATCCCTGTGGTCATGGCGTCATATTCGCATGTTTTGCAAGTCCGATCGAACGCGCCGCTAAAGGCACGGGCTGTCAGCAAACATCAACGCAGAAACAATCATGTTACAACAGCTCCGTTTTGGCATCTAGACATACTTACTATTTCGCATACGTGATCTCGCCGTTGGTGTTTGCAAAGCAGGCTTGCAAAGGTATCCAACTGCATTTTTCGTTGCCAAATCCTTGGCACCTGGCCACCAGATATGGCGTGGCATCCTTCGTTTCGGATAAAAGAGGCCTGGGATCGATCATGCGAACATCGGGGCAGCTTGTCTTGTATGGGTTTGTGACCAGTCGAGCATGTGGCAGGACGAGATCGGTTGACAGGCCTGCCATGATCTCGCATGCTGCCAACAGCGAGAAAAGAATACCCAACTCCAGCCTCATAAAGATTGTTGATGAATGTAGCAGAAAGATAGGATGGTGGTAGCGAAATGGCGGTTGCTTACGGAGAGCACCAACTTGACTAGTAAAGTAGATGCGTTTGCTGGTAGGACTAACATGTTTAGTGGATGGTTCAAGGGTAGCGAGCATGAGGTTTATCTATGCCATAGGAGGGTACTGAAACTGCAAGGGAATACCGAGATTAATACATGCGGCCTTGAATATCTGATTCTGTGATACACTGGCAAGCACTGCGTTACAAGACATTCCCAAACGCTAACGACGGCATCCCTCCATTTCCCCAGCCAAGATACAACCGGACAACCCAGACGATTCGGAGACTTTTAGAGACGGAACTAAGTTTGGGAGCTTTCACTAAGTCCTGTGACTTCGCGAATGGACAAAAAAGGACGATAAAAGAGTTGTACTACACAAAGCACGGACGAAGCGAGAAATACTTATCCCTGTGAGACACCTTCTATGTGGACAAAGGGCAAACCAATCCATGTAGAGCCATGTCCTACGGAGTCAGATGAATCCCTTGCTTGTCTTCCGTAGAAATCTCTGGCCGTCATGCAGTTGTGGATTCTTTTCAAACTGATCCTTCCATATTGACATCAACAAGATCTCGTACTTATTATCGCGAGTGCGACAATGGATGATTTTATACTCCCAAAGTGTGTCACCAAGGCCTGTTGTTCGCGCTCAAAGAAAACTGCGGAGATAGAATGCCCAGACTCGATACTTTGTCCTTGGCTAGTTGGATGTGTACTACAGCACACATTGGTCCATGCCCTTGGATAATATGCTCTTCTTTACCCTCGTATGGAATGCATTTTGAAGTCAATTTTCATTAATACATCAAGGAATCCAGTGTCCACAAACCATCGCCTTGTAGTCATCCTGGGGGCATGTCACGTTCTCTATCAAACTGGAAAGCAGGATAATTTTGTCGTTTCAGTACACCTATTCGACGGCGGCCTCAGAATAGTGAATACAGGCGCATACCAAACTCTTGAATTTTAGGGCTCCGTTAGCGGCAGAATCCAAGCCATCAAGACGGAATAAGAGCTTCCTCCAACCCCGCTATGAGTCATAATGGCTCAGCATGAGCGTCGATGTCCGGGCGTCCGTGCATTCTTCGGGTTTCATTCATCGAGGAGCTGCGTGGAGAATTTCAGGCTTTTATATAAATCGTACAACTATGTCAAGGCTGGAATTACTTGTTTATATTGACACTATCAATCCGCCAAGTCTCGAGTAAAAATGGCTGCACGCAGACACGCCATCGTCTTTGGAGCCGCAGGTTTGCTTGGTTGGGCGACTGTCGAACAGCTGCTCTCCAATTACCCTACTGAAGGTTCCTTCGATCAGGTCACCGCTGTCATCAACCGCCCTCTGCCCGAGTCCGAGTTCTTCTGGCCCCGAGACGCACCAAACCGACCTTCTTTGCAGATCGTGTCAGCGGTGAACCTGAATGGCACAACCGAAGACCTTAGGAGACAGCTGGAAGGCAACGTCAAGGGAATCGAACATGTCAGCCATGTTTTCTATTTTGGTGCGAAACTTTGCCTCTACTTTATCTCTTGCGACTGACGAAGGGTTATGTGTAGTTTTTCACCAGGTGGGAGAGGACCACATTCATGAGCGCGAGACCAACTGCGGCATAATGCAGAGGGTTGTGGATGCACTTAGTTTGTTGTCACCAAAACTCGAATCATTTGTCTATCCCGGAGGCACGAGGGTAAGCTTTTTATTTGATAAGCTACCTCACAGCACTTGGCTCATAGGCATAGGGATACGGAATTTATGTGCCAGGAGGGACATTTGAAGCACCGCTCAAGGAGTCGATGGCAGACAACCTCCCCGAAGAGTATGCTAAGACAGTCGCATATCCGTGGTTCAGGAGAATTCTTGCCAAGGCGAGCGAAGGCAAGCCATGGACATGGTCAGAAGTGTGCCCTGATGCCGTCATTGGTTTCACGCCAAACGGGTCCGGATTCTCTCTCGCCCTTCACTGGGCACAGTATCTCTCCCTATACGCTTACAATCACGGACGTGACGGGAACTCTGATCTCCCCGTTGAAATTCCGTTTCCAGGGAGCGAGAGTGGCTACAATAGTCTATTCACTCCCGTATCTTCTCGCAGTTTTGGCCGCACCGCTGTTTACGCCTCGTTAAACGGTGAAAAATGTCATGGAAAAGTCATCAACGTAGCGGATAGCACAAGGCCTACCACGTTTAGCGAAATCTGGCCGTCGCTTGCCAACTGGTTCGGACTAAAAGGCGTAGGACCTACGGAAGACAACCAGCCATCGAAGCCTGGTGAGTATGTCAAAGAGAACAAGCAGCATTTTGTGGAAAAGGGGCTCCACAAGGCTTTGGTTGCTGGCGTCGGTGGTGGGAGCTCCCAGCTTGATAGCGTAGGATATTGGCTCTCATTTGATCGACAGTTAAGCCTGGATAGACTTCGGTCATTGGGGTTCATGGAAGAAAGAGATCCAATTGAAGGATGGCTCGAGGCATTCAGAAAGTTTAGGGAAGCTGGCATTGTTATCTGAATACATACATATAGCAGGAAACAGCGGCAACTAATATTGAATAAACTGTTTCTGATGTTAACAGTGGTGACGGTAATTCGGATAGCCCAACAACGATTTGAACCTGTTGATGCGTTCACCTTGGTCTTCCAGAGAAGTCATATTTCTTCATTCCATAACGAATGTTGTGTTGTCGTACTGAGAGATTGGGTAAGGGAACAACAATATCTTTGATCTTTCAAGTCCCCTCTTACTACACCTGGATGATGCGGGGAAGTGGGGAAGCGGGGGGTTGGCGCCCAATATCCGTTGACAATGCTCCGCGCGGAACTTGTCACCCCTTCTCCGCACCCACGGCCAACCACGGGATTGACTGATAGCACGCAGGTCATCTTTTGTTGACAGCCGAACTTCTCCTCTTTCGACCCCTTCCTTGCGCTTGACTTAAATCAAGGTGTTCAGTGAGTAAAAAAGTCACAAGGTACAACTGAAGCAAGACCACCCAGCTCATGCTTAAGTCATGGCAAAACGTTCTTGGTCAGACGCCAATGAGAGTATGGAGTTTATGACGGTGAGAAGCATTCCGTGGAGCTGTTTTTGTCATACTACAAACTAACGCCATGTCTCAGTTGATGACCGCCGGAAATGGCGAACAACCTTTTCCACAGATATCTCGAAAAGTCAAGGCATGTGCCGCGTGCCGAAAACATAAGGTGTGCTATTGCCGCAGTACCACTGGCTTTGACCGAGAGATGAAAAGTTTGTGAGACTAAGCGAGAAATCCAGATCAAATGTATCATGGATGAAAGTGGTCCGCCATGTCGTCGGTGCGTCGAGCGTAACTTAGGATGCGTCTTGGGGAAAAACTTGCAAAGTATCATTGACGAGAAAACTCAGTGAGAGCAAACGGCGCACTCGAGATGGAACAAGATACTGATTCTCCAGCAGATGCAACCAGGCTATCCTCCAAGACCTTGAGAATCTTCATAACACTCTCAAAGAAGTCACGAGAAAGATTGATCTGCCGGAACCCGTCTCACTTCAATCTACAGCACTGCAAAAGTCCTTGGAGTCTCCACCACGATCGAGCCGCTTTGGTCGGGGCGTAAGCGACAACGGATACAGTATAGGAGCTTCTGGACAGGATAATTATGGTCCATCTTGCGACAACTCGCCAAAGGTCTCACCCGAGGATGGAAACCTTCCTCACGTGCCGATTCATTCGCTTTACGCCCTCACGAAGCTAAGAGCTTTGAGGTCACCGGACGCGCCAGATGGGCATTCGAGCCCTAGTCAGGATGATTTCATAGCAAGGGGTGCCTTGCGACTAGAGGACGCCGAGCGCCTGTTTCGTCTCTACCGAGATCGGCTCGATTCCTTCATATATGGTGTTGGATGCAAATATCAACAGTTGGATGAGCTGAGGCGCAAAAGCCCTATTCTGACGGCAGCAACATTGACCGTCGCTGCGCTTCACGACCCCAGTGCGAACAGCTTGTACGGTATTTGCAGCACAGAGTTCCGCAGGCTCACCGAAAGATCAATGTTCGATCGAAGGGTAAATCGCGACTATCTTCGTGCCATGTGCGTCGCGTCATATTGGCTCAGTGACATGAGCTGGATGCTTTCCGGATATGCGATAAGAAGAGCGGCCGAATGTAACTTACACAACAGCTATATCCGGACCATTGAGGAGAAGAGTGAAGAGGCAGCTGATGATGCGCGGTTGTGGTATATCTTGAACATATGCGATCAACATCTCGCCACATTGTACGGGCGACCTGCAATAGTACAGGAGGACTCTTCGATGCAGCAGTGGGAAAGCTTTCTAGAGTCGCCCGTATCAACTGAAGAGGACAAGCGTTTGACAAGTCAGGTGGCGCTCCTCGGTATCATTGGTAGCATCAGAGAACTGTTTGGGCCGGACAAGGGCCGGCCGACGCCGAGGGCCTATGTTCACCAAATTGCTCACTTCAACAAGCAACTTGACCAGTGGATCAAACATTGGTCAGATGCATTGCCAGGTTTGTTGTCGCCGTATATACCATATTGAATGATACTCGGCGCTCACACCTTGTAGAACAGCACCAGCATATTGGCCGCTTCCCCCGGAAAGGTGCTTTGTTACACTTCCACTTCGCCAAGCTTCACCTCTACTCCCATGTCTTTCGAGGCCTCTCGGGGGAGAATCCGATACCTCATCACTTTCTCGACTGCGCTGCCACAGCCATCTCCGTCGCAACCGCTACTATTGATTTCATCCTTACAGATCCGGATGTTGCAGCTGGTGTCGTAGGCATGCCATCCTATCTGCACTGCATGACCGCTTTTGCGTGTATGTTTCTCATCAAAGTAGCGGTCAAGTACGGAGGAGACGTTATCGAACCGGACAATGTCTGGAATCTGACAACAAGCCTCGTGCAGCACTTCCGGTCTCTGCCAGCAGGTCGTTGGCACCTGGCCAACCTTATGGCTCCAGGTCTCGAGCGAATGGCTGCGACGTTGAAATCAGGTCAATCTAACGAATCGAATCAAAATTTACGACCGCAAGCTACGGATTGTGCAACGCATCCCAATACTGACACTCTGATCAATTCTGGGCTCGCTGGACCGATCATTGACGAAGGTTTAATAGGTCCAGAAGAGGAATTCTTTTTTGATTACGATATGAGCTTTGGGGCCTGATCGGCAACGGCGGCGAAGTTGGATAACAGCCTGTACCTCGAATAAGAGCTACTTATTGATTAGCTAATTACTGCTAAGTAAAACCTTAGCCTACAAGATGTACTATCGCCATCCTTATGCCTAATTACTCACCTCACTGCCTTCCTTTTGCTGCGCAAGGCCTATAGAATAAGCTTTATTACCTCTCCTTGTAATACTATTAATACTAGTATACTTTATAGTTACAAGTGAAGTTATTATTATTATTATTATTATTAAATACTGCAATAGATAACTAGTAGCAAGAAGAAGGCTTATTAATTAATAACAACAGTATAGTTATTACTACACCTATTATTAAAGACTTAACTAAAAGCGTAGTCCTACTGCTGTAGCTAAAGAGGTAACAAAGAGTTAAGCAGCTATAGCTAGGTATAAGTAACAAAGGCAATAAAGTTATCCCTTCTTTAGTAAATAAAGGCAATAATATATAACTATCTATTAAAAGTGTTAGTTAAGCTAAAAAAAGGCTTTATACACTATAGAATACTAACTTAACCTACTGCTTTATAACTAAGCTTATTATACTTTACTAAAGCTATAAGCTAAATACCCTTAAGGCAGCTACACAAAAGCTAGCCTTTAATAAGCTTACTAGGTAGATAAATTTATACTACTAGTTTTATAGTACTATAATAGGCAAGTAGCTAGGTAATAAGTATAACGTTAAGAGAAAGAGATATAATACCTAGGTAAATATTACTTATAAATTAGGCAATATATATACTAATAATAGTAAAGTCCTCTGCACTAAAAAGGCTAAAGATACCTTTTTTATTAACTACCTATAGTATAAATAGGTATTTAAAAAAAGGTTAAGGCTACTAGACCTATACTATAAGATATAAAGTAATATATATAGCAAAGGTAATAATATTTAGTCTATAGATAATTTATTACAGGAGGTAGATTCTTTAGGTAAAGAAGAAGGTGCCTATAATAAAAAGAAAGACAGTATTAATAAAACTATATTATTAAATCAGCCTAGTTAAGTATTACTAGTGTTACTATTAATAGAATATACCTTAAGCCTAATTTAGTGCTAATAGTTACTACTATCTCTATTTCTACTAGTTTAAAAGCAAGGTAAAGCTCCCTTAGGTGCTAAAGCTAGTATATATATAGGCTAATTATTATAGTAGTTTAGGCACTATATAATAGTAACAAAGGATAAAGATATACAAGATAAGCTAATATAGTAAAAGGTTATAATAACCTACGTATAGGCTAACTTAGTAAAGTTTAAGGAAGAGCTAGACCCTATAGTCTACCTAGCTATATCTTTAACGTTAGTAATAAAGCTAAAGGGGTCACTTGTACTATAAGCAGTATATTAGAACTCTTTACCTAATAACTAGCTAAAAAAGGCATATATTACCTACGTTACTGCCTAGTAGACAAAGGGTTAAAAAAAGGTAGTTAGATAAGTTAAAAAAGGGTAGTTAGATAGGTTAAAAAAGGGTAGTTAGATAGGTTAAAAAAAGGTAGTTAGATAAGTTAAAAAAAAGTAGTTAGATAGGTTAAATAGTTACTAGTTATTAGTGTTTTTTTGCCTACTATAGTATATAAAAAAAACTACACTTTTTTACCTTTTTACTAGCTACTGTTACTATAACTCCTCTACTGTCTATTAGTAAATAATAACTTTACTTTACCCTTTATATAACTAGTTAGCCTTACTTTTAATTATAATAACGTTAATATCCTTAGGTATTTTCCCTTATTAATCTCTTTTTTTATAATAATAAATAAGGAAGTTATATAAGGCTATAACTATATATATAATTTTTACTTAAGTTATAATCTTATACTTTAGTGTCTACCTACTAAGGATCTACTACTTCCTTTTTAACTAGCTAAAGACCTACTTAACTATAATATAAAGGTAACTATAGCGTAAGTTATATAGCTCCTTTACTATTTTAGGTAGTTACCTAGAATCTCTCTAGTCTTATAAATAATAACGTATTTAACTATAGGGAAGTATAATACTACTCTGTCTACTAAACCTAGCATCTACAAGGAAATATTAACCCTCTAGGACACTAAATCCTCTGTTAAAGGCATAAGAGAGTAGGCTTATATTATATATTAATCCTTTAGCTCTAGTAAGTATATATAAGAAGCTCCTATTAAAGTAGACTACTATAAAGATATTTTATAATATAGTGCCCTTATAACTTTACTATATAATTTATTTATTATCTAGTAAGTACATAGGTATTAAGGTTCTATTAATAACGCCTATATAACTAGTAAATTTTTTCCTTTTCTTGTTAGTCTCTATTTTAAGTAAGACTTTACCTTCTAATAGCCCTCTTATATACACCTTATAAAGGATAATAAGGTATAGTATAACCTTATTAAACACTAGTAAGATAGTTAACTAACTAACCTTAAAGAAGTAACTAGTAGTCTACTATAACGCCTAAATTATAAAGATATAAAGATAAATAAGTACCTTTTACTTAACTATTAACTATTATAATAACTACAGTAGTATATTATTTTATAGCTACTTTATAAGTATATAAAACTACCTTTTACTTATATAAAAGGAGTTATAGAAGTAATAATATAACCTATTAAGTAACTACTAGTAAAATTACTATACCTTTATTATACTACCTTTGTTAACTACCTTTTTTTTAACTACTAGCTAGCTATAGCTAGATATAGTTATAATAGTAGTAATATAGGCTATAGTAACTACTAACAGTTAGGTGTAATCTATTATAAAGTGCTACCTAAGGTTTTACTAAGTTAGATAATAGTTAGATATTATTATAGGCACCTTGTAAAGACCTTATAATAAAATAGGTAGCAGTAGGGCAGTTATTTAATATTTCCTCTCTTTTAGGCAGCAAAAAAGTTATTCTTATTAAGGTATATGTTAAAATAGTAAGGTTTCTTATAGGCAAACTCTACTAATGAAAAAGGGGCCTTTTTTGGCCTAGCGCAGCATTTATTTGGTTTCTGACTAATATTTCCCCTCACGTTATCCAAGTTGGCGCGTTATCCAACATTTCCGCCGTTGCCGATCAGGCCCTTGGACTTTCCCCAATTTCCCAGTTTGTTATGCCATCCTTAAACACGAATGGCCAGACTATCTCGTGTCAAGATTTGGCACACGCCAACTATCAACCAACGGAACCAGGCATATGAACACAAACGCTTATTGCTGAATTAGTGCCCACCTTGACAGGCTCTGAAGGCATTAAAGGCATTAAAAAGTTTCTCAGAAATCGACATCTCATTTAATGAATTTATCTGGCCCACAGATGTATCCAAAACTTACATGCCTTGAATATTTCTTGGCCGGTACTCTCTCTCCAAGTACTGGCATTCCTCCTCACTCAGATTGACCTTGAGTGCCCCTATCATGTTCTTGATTCTATCTTCTGAGGTCAACCCTACAATAGGGTAGCATCCTTTTTGCAGAACCCACGCTGTCGAGACCAATGCCATGCTCACACCTTTCTTCTTCGCAATCTCCTCAACCCGGTTGACGATATCGAGATTGGCGTCAGCAAACCATTTTTGCGTCTTCTTGTCCGTCTGGCTTCGCAGCGATGCGCCATCCTCGCCTTCTTTGGAAAGAGGCTTTGCAAGAAGGCCGCGCGCAATCGGCGACCAAGGAATCACCCCGACCCCTGTTGCGCGGCAGAAGGGTAGCATCTCTCGTTCTTCCTCGCGGTAGAGAAGGTTGTAGAACGGCTGCATCGATATGAACTCTGTCCAGCCGTTTGACCGGGCGATGTACTGCAGGCGGGCGAACTCCCACGTATACATGGACGATGCTCCAATGTAGCGAACCTTCCCGGACTGGACGACGTCGTGCAGAGCTCGCATTATTTCTTCGGGTGGGGTTTCTCGATCGAGGCGGTGAATCTGGAGAACATCTGTGAGACCCAAGGTCAGTTGCATTACCTTGACTGTCAGAGGGCGCAAAATTACCGATATAATCTGTCCCAAGCCGTTCCAGGCACTGGTCAACAGCAAAAAAGATATGCTTTCTGCTTAAACCCATCTGGTTGACCAGTGGTCCATCATTCACACTGGCAGGTCTGGAATCATCATCCATGACTGGGTTGAAAATCTTTGAGAGGATCACAACCTTCTGCCGTGGAATGTTGAACTTCTTCAGTGCCTTGCCAATGATGACCTCTGACTGCCCATTTGAGTACGTATCGGCTGTATCCCAAGTGTTTATGCCATTTTCATATGCCACCTTCAACAGTTGCAGCCCCTCTTCCTCGTCAAGAACCCACGGGGATCCCTCCCACTTGGACGAGCCAAAGGCCATGCATCCCAGAATGATTTTGGAGATCTTGAGGCCGGTGTTTCCGAGTCTAGATAAATCTGCATTAAAAATCAAATTACAGTGATTGATCGCCGAAATAATTACGTCTGGGAAGCATATGCTGCACAGGAAACATGATGGTGGATCAAAAATACCCATTCAACTGACCTTATGTATTCCATCTTGACGATGCCGTGAGTCCGAGTCTCATTCGGTATTACAGCTGTAACAGCCTCTTAAAGCAATCGGTCTATGGCTGATTGTCCGTAAGTCTTCTAGTTCGATATATGAGGGTTTCGTCTTGCTCCAACGCCTTTATGACCTCGCTCCTCGGGGTCAACCCCTCCGTGGAAACACACTATTCCATCCCTGTCACCCCCGCCTTTTCAAATCAACGTGGATTGTTCCCCACCGGTGACGGAGCCACCCCGCAGCAATCGGGTCCATCGGTGTTCTCACCGGCGACCAACTCGGGTGTGCTGCATCGGCTCCTGGTCCGGCCAGAGGCTTCAAATATCGAGGGTGGCTGGCATACCTTTCCGTTTATGACCGGGCGAGTTCGGTAACTTGCAGAAAAGATGGGGAGAATCTTGGAGACGTAATACGTTCCCCTCATTGAGATGCGAGAGGGGTAAAGCGAAGTCGGACCGTGGACAATTAAACCCGAGAGGCGGGATCGCGACCCTTTTTCCAGAAACACCCCAGTTACTCTTGCAATTTGTAATTCTGATAACTCTTTTTACCAAAAGCGAGTCTGCAAAACGCCTATGTAAAACAAAATATGTCCAACGAAGTCCTTGTAACAGGCGCTGCTGGCTTCGTCGGCCAGGCCCTCGTCAGTGCCCTCATCAAAGCCAACCCCGCTACGACCCTTACCGTCACGGATGTCGTCGAGCCCCCAATCCCGATCGACGTGGCCGAAGAGAGCAGCCGGATCAATTCACTCAAGGCAGATCTCACGGACTCACAGGCGGTGAGCTCCTTGCTCTCAAAACAGTTCGGCGCAGTGTACCTGCTGCATGGGCTCATGTCTGGCGGCGCGGAAGCAGACCTAGATCTAGGGCTTAAGGTCAACCTTGACTCGGTTCGGAACGTCCTGGATTATCTCCGCAAGAACTACCCCGGAACCACCGTCGTTTTCACCAGTTCATGCGCGGTTTACGGCCCCAGGCAACCAGTTATCGAAAGCGAGACGGTGCCAAAACCCAAGACGTCATACGGCACCGAGAAGCTCATCGTCGAGTTGTTAGTGGAAGATTACTCACGACGCGGGCTCATCGACGGTCGGATTGTACGCCTTCCCACTGTTACTGTCAGACCTGGTGCCCCGTCCGCTGCAGCATCTAGCTTCGCCTCCGGCATCGTGCGTGAGTCTCTGAAAGGCATCAAAAACATTTTGCCCGTCAGCCGTGACCTTGAGGTCTGGGTCTGCAGCCCCGCAACAGTTGTCAAGAACCTCATTAAAATCAAGGATGTGCCTAAGGAGAGATTCGGTGACTCGAGGGTCGTAAATCTTCCTGGGATTACGGTTACGGTTCAGGAGATTCTCGACGCAGTAGAAAAGGTTGGTGGCAAGGAGGCACTGGCGCAGGTGGAGGAGAAGAGTGATCCTAAAATTTCGGCCATTGTAAATACATGGGCGGCTCGTTTCGATGTCAGTAGAGCGTATGAGCTGGGCCTGGAACCTGACGGGTCGATTTTAGACGCCGTTGAGGCGTTTGCGAAAACCTTGAAGGCATGAATGGTAGCTTCACGATGGATACAGTCAAATGATTAATGAAACGAATTTTCCCGTTTTAGTAGTGTATTTGAATCGCAATAAAGCACGTCGAAAACTTTGTATGTAGTCCTTCCGTAGTCGAACGTTGCGTCTTCCTCATGTCCCATTTTCATCAAATGTTTGGAAACATCTGGGGTGAAAACACTTGACAATCAACTTCGGAATCATATTTATAAGTGTAGCCAATAGGTGGAGTAGTATAAGACAGTACTTAGAAGACTCTGATATTAATAAGTCCATTATCTGGGTTATGAATATCTGATGCGGTAGGCCGAAGGCGTCTTGAACCCGTTGAATGTCTGCCATCACTTCATAGATCTTAAATATTAGAGTTTCGACCATGATCTTTTCACCGACATCTTTTGCCTCGACGATTCCTCTGGAACCACCAAGTAATCAATATCCAAAGTATTCACCATTGCAGGCGTAGCCTGGCTGAGGCTCGTAATACCACAAAGCCTCATCGAGGTTTCCAATTCGTCTTTGAGAACTATTCATAGTTGCATTTCGGTTAGAAATTAGCAACTTTGGATCAGTGGTGAGGATAACTTACTCTGTGAGAGGTGCTCTACGCCTTTTTGGCCGTAAACTAAAGAATAAAGGAACGGTCTTCCGACACCGACTGCCGTGGCACCAAGTGCAACGGCTTTCAGAATATCCGAGCCACGCTCGAAGCCACCATCAATATAGATCTCAAGCTTGTCGAATACTTGGGGCATTGCTTTCTGAGTTCGAGAAGAACCAAAATGGACGCTTGTGAGCTGTTTTAATCTCTTGTTAGTGAATGATTAGCCAATAAATTGGGTTTGGTGCGAAAAATTACCCATCCAAAGATCGACCGCCGTGATTGCTCAAAAGAACTCCATCAAGACCATACGCCACTGCTAATCTAACATCGTCTGCTGTCTGAACTCCTTTGAGCACGACCGGAACACCGCTGGCCTCTCTGATCCAAGTGAGATCTTCCCACGTGATTGAATTGTCAATGTACTGAGCCATCAAACGCCCTAGTCCACTTCCCTTGTTGTCACTGCTGCTTTCGGCGCCACTAATGGCAGCACGAACTGTGCCTGCTTGTGCCGCGCGCTCATCTGCTTCTCGCTTCCCAGGAACAGGGGCATCCACAGTCACAAAAACAGCCTTGATACCTAGTGAGCGGGCTGAACGAAGAATCTCTATCGTTTTTTGGCGTTCAGAGTTGACGTAAAGCTGGAAGAAGAAAGGGTGTGTTGGCGGGGCAGCTGAGACGATGGACTTCAGAGTGTAAGATGCATTGCTCGATATCTAAAGGCCCAACTATCAGTTAGATGATTCGTAAAAGCTCAATGTTCATACTCACACACTGAATAATGCCCTCGCTTGCAGCCCCACGACTCAACGCCAACTCGCCGTCGGGATGCACCAACTTTGCCATGGCGGCTGGTGAGATGAAAAACGGGGCAGAGGTTTCAAAACCCAAGATGTTGGTTCTCATGTCGACGTGAGAAACGTTTCTCAGAATCCTAGGCCGGATCATGATGCGTCTCACCAACCTCTTGTTGTTCTTGTGCGTTATGAGATCAGTGGCAGCGGAAGAGTAGAAGGCCCAAGCCTTTGGCGTGAGTGCTTTGGAAGCGACCGATTCCAAATCTGGCGCGCCAATAATAGATCCAAGTGGTGGTATAGCCTTATCTTCCTCTATAGGCATGTTAAGAGTCTGAGCTGTCTTTGAAACCGCCGTGCTCATGGTATCGCCTGTGGCTGGCTGTGATGCAGTTGCTACAGCGTCTGGAGTGGCATCTTGGAGAATACCAATGAACTTCTCGTCCGGCAGCTCCTCGAGTATATCGGGGGCATGAACTTCGTCGAATATCCTCGTAGCGTTTGATCCGGCGCATTTGAGTAGAGCTGTAAAGTAATTGAGATGAGCATTACGTACAATGTGATGGCATTGAGACTTGATTTGACTAACCGGACGGACCGCCTGGGTGCTCATTGATGAAGTTAGTGATATCCCAGACTTTTGAGTGCACTGCTATCCAACAGTCTGTCTCTTTATTATGCTTGCCCAGGTCAGTTAAACTAATCGTGGCTGTTTCGGTGTTCAATGTCTTGGTCGTCATTGCGTTCCAGTGCTGTGGTCACACTTTTCACTTTTCCTGTCTCGAAATGCTTTCTATGCGTCGCCTATGATCAACATGCAAGAATCTGTGAGAAAACCAGCGGGACAAGAAATCAACTTTGCGTAGAATGCTTTCAGTATCCGTGTCCTAGAGTACGACACTTCAAATCCTCCCCAATCCTCTAAGTTGTCTTTCCAGCGCTTAACAGTCATTGATCCTCTTGCTGATCGCTGCATTCCGGTCTTTTCGGTGACTATCTCCATTGTGGATTTCGCATGCACGTTACCCCCGCACATCGGCATTCTCGCCGATGTGGGCCACCACGATTTCAGATTTCATCACGCATTGGAGCATTCTCTCACATTGATATGAAACTCAAGCGACGCCAATGGTTACAGCTACATGCATTCCTTCCGTAGCCGAGGCTCAACCGAGCGGTAAGACTTGACGCAACTCATCGGAGGACCTTTCCCTATTGTTCTCCGCATTTTCTGGGGTCGATTTGTTGCTATCTTAGCGAGGGATTGATTTAAACTAAGTCGGCAGCTATCATTCATATTCCCTAACAATCGAGATATGTTCCAACTCAAAACTCCTCAGCTCCGTGAATTCGACTGAATATCATCATTACTCCTTCTGCAACTACCAGATCACTTCATCATGCCCTCCAGCACCATTGCTTCCAAGTCAAGACCTCTTCCAGCGGGGGTCTACACGCCAGTCGTAACGATCTACAAAGCCGGTGACCCGTTACAGCCCGTCGACCATGCCGCCATGTACAGGCAGTGTCAGGTTCTGATCAAAGCCGGCATGCACGGTCTTGTCTATCTGGGAACTAACGGCGAACTCTGCCTTCTCACCTCGGCCGAACGTAAAGCCATAATCGAAACTGCGGCTCAGTCCGCCAAAGACCTTGGACAACCAGATTATCCGATTGTCGCAGGTATCTCTGCCCAGTCAACACTGGAAACCATTCTCAACGCCAAGGAGGTCGCTACTGCTGGCGCGAAATTTGCTCTTCTGTTGCCACCCAGCTACTGGGCCAAAGCACTTTCCAATGATGCGATTTTGGGTTACTTCCGTGACGTTGCCGACAACTCGCCCATTCCGATAGTCATCTACAATTTCCCTGCAGTGACTTCTGGTGTGGATCTTGATTCAGATCAGCTGGCCGCTCTGGCGTCACACCCCAATATCGTGGCTGTGAAGTTGACTTGCGGCAACGTTGGAAAGGTAGTTCGCCTGACGAGCAAGTTCACGCACGAGCAGTTCGGTGTGTTCGGAGGTAGTAGTGATTACCTCCTCCCAACACTATATGCTGGAGGAAGCGGCTGTGTGACAGGGATGGGCAACATCTTTCCCAGTTCCACATCAGCTGTGTACGATTTGTGGAAGGCTGGGAGAACGGAAGTGGCTTCCAAACTCCAGGGAGATGTGGCCAATGCAGAATGGGCATGCAAGAAAGGTATAGCGGTTACGAAGTACGGCGCCTGGTACTTTCTTGGTCGTGATATTGGGCTTACTGATGAGTCCTCTTGGGAAATGAGGCGTCCATATCTGCCTTTGAGCGATGCAATGAAGAAATGGGCTTTAGAAACTTTGGGAGTGCTTGAAACTGCGGAGAAGCAAAAGTCGTGGATAGAATAGCCCGAGTATCGAAACCGGTGGAATAGTGTGCAAAACCTCGAGTGTTCATTTTGACCAACATAAAAGATGGCATTTCTATCTTCGTCCTATTTGCACAGGAACATATAGCTCAACCTTCCCGTTTAACATGGGCCTCATCTACCCAACTTTCCAGTTCATGTATTTTGACATATTTAATGTACTGGCGGTGGAAAGTGAAAGCAACATGCGCCACTGACAGCGGCCCTTTCTCAATAAAGATGCTTGGGTAACTCAACTCTCTGTTCGTCTTCTGAATGGAGTTGTTCGTCATGCAATAACCATCTCCTTCCTCAAGTACCCTTTCTTTCCATGTCAGACCGTCATCGCTGGAAATTGCGATGGTCAAATCTTTCCGAGGCGTTCCCCATATGGCGCTCTTTCCGTTGACAGAAGCCTGGTTTGGACGCTTGTCGTCTTTCGGTGTAATGTCATCGTAAAGTCCTTCTCTCTTTGCCATTTTAGGCTCCGCCGCAGATCTGTTGAAGACGATAATGGTATTTCCTGACGGTAGACGGGCGGCACAAATGCCGCTATTCGGGTTTGGTAAGGTAATTGGCTTTGGAGGATTCCAATCCAGGCCATTAGGGGAGGTGGAACGGTAAATACTGTCTGCCCACCGACTGCGGAAAAAGGCGGTATACTGGCAGCCCTTCTTCCCTGGGGGAATAATGTTCATGTGGACGCACCCCAAACTACCTGGAACCACATTCTCTGCCCATGTCTGACCATCATCTCGGGAGAAATAAACTGCCGATATGTCGTTGTTACCAATCCATCTCTGGCCTGGTGTTGTGCGGCAATGAAAAACCGGAAGAACCCACGTCCCATCGTCAAGGACCACCAGAGGTTGACGCACAAACGCTCCAGTGATACCTCGGAAGGGGAAGTGTGGTTCTGACCAAGTCATGCCGTTGTCGCTTGATATGCGAGCCATGATGAATGCACCATCTTGGTTGCCGGCATCTTGAGAGGTATGGAACAGCCATACGTCTCCTGTACTTGGTGCTCGGAAAAGAACTGGATTCTGACAACTGCGATTGACGTCGGCAGAGACTTTTTCGGGTGCAGACCAAGTGGTTGAGCCAGGTTCTTGACGAGATAGCCAGATACTGATATCTGGAAGGCCTTCTTGGGAACCCCCAAACCACGCGCAAAGCAGAGTCTGATCGGGAAGTTGAAGAAGGTTGGAGGCGTGGGACTGAACAGTTGCTGCAGGGATGGCAGCGGTGCGGAGCGTCGGAGACATAGTCAAGGAATCGTTTGACTTTGGGCTGAAAGAGTGAGTAATAGTATAACTTACGAAATCAAAGCAAATAATACTTCGGTGAAGCGTCAAGAAGATCAGAGGGAACCCTATGCTTCGTGCAAGTGGTGTTAGACGTGGATGCATTATGGGTGATTTTTGCTACCCCTCATCTGCCGTTCTCGGGGCCGATTTCTCTCGTCAATCAGTGTCAGTCGGCGTAACCTCCGGCCCCACTCACATCAAGGCATCGGGTAGTACTGGCTAAACCCTGTGTTGCCAGAACGTCAAGTGGCTTCGGCTCGGTTGGCTCACCGAATTTCCTAATTTTGCTTAATCTATGCGGATAGGACTGTCAAGGAGGGTCGATGAACCGAGACATGAAAGCGGGCGATCAGTTCCTAGCGAAGGCAAGACAAAGTGACAATTGTTCGTGATTACGGGATTCTCTCCGAGATAGACTCAGCTTCTCATGCAGTTATGGGTCGAGGTGGATTGTGGGTTACGCGGGGTAGTTCGGCTCCTGGCATTTTCCCCACTGGGACTGCTTGGCTTCCCGGGGAAGAATCAAGTCAGTTTATAGGAATATATGATACAGCTCGAGGTCTTCTGTCCTGCAACTTGAAAGAGTAGAGATTCTTGACCGACTTCATTCCCTCGATAAGCTCGACAATTCAACAAACACGCGGGATAGTTCAGCAGCAAGGTCGTCAAAATGGGTGGAGGAACTTCACTGTGGGCTTCTCCCGACTGGAAGAAGGACCCCAGAGAAATCTTCAACTCGAAACTTCTCCTTCTGGGCATCACGATCGCTTTTGCTGGCTGCTCTTACGGTTTTGATCAAGGAAATATCGGAGGCGTTATGACGTTCCCATCCTTTCGAAAAGCCTTTGGTTTTGACACCATAAGCGAAGCTGAAGCAAACACAAGAGGTATAGAAGATTGCAGCCAAAGTCTTGTCAAAATGCTGATAGCTGGTATAGAAGGAAACATAGCGGCTATGCGTAAGCATTCTTGATGTAAATTTGGTAATGTCTTGGTCTAAGTACTGCGACTATAGTGGCGGCTGGTGGAAGCGGAGGTGCTTTACTAGCAGCCCCGTTATCCGACTTTCTCGGGAGAAAGAAGTCTGTAACCGTTATGGCAGGCCTCTTTCTTGTTGGATGCTCCATGCAAGAGGTTCCCAGCTTGGCAGTTCTTTATGCCGGGAGACTACTAGCCGGACTAGCCATCGGAGCAACTTCAATGGTGAGTACACAGCGGTTTAAGACACGGCTTCGTTCATTAAACCTCAGTGGCAACAGCTTGCGCCTCAATACCTTGCGGAAAATTCTCCAAAGTCGATCAGAGGCTCTCTCACCACATCTTACAACTTGATGATTATACTGGCACTGGCGATTGCCTTCTGGGTCAATTGTAAAGTTCAATGAATCTTACCTGCGGCACTGTCTGTAACACTACCTAGGCTTACGGAGTACTGACTATACAATACAGATGCGGTAAGCCTATGGCCCGAAAAGGACCTTAACGACAATAAGTCTTGGCAATTAGCCCTAGGCATTCAGTTGATTCCTGGATTCTTCTTATTTGCCTTGATCTGGTGTAAGCCCACCTTTGGACATCCTTAAAAGTATCCAGAGATTGACATGGCGACTTTCAGTTGTTGTCGAAACTCCACGTGCCCTTATATCGAAGGGGAAAAATGAACAGGGGTTGAGGAATCTCTGCGAGCTCAGGGGCTTGCCTGAAGACCACACATATGTCCGCCAAGAGTACATGGAAATTCTGGCTCAAGTAGAAGCAGAGCAAAAGACTGGAAAAGGTATTCTAATCACATGGTTCCTTGTGCGAAATATTGTCCCTAATAATTGCAGGTTATGGCTACGTTCTTGTTGTCAAAGATATCGCCACCAATGCGAGCAACCGCCGACGACTTTTCCTTGCTGTTATGCTCTTTCTGTTCCACAAGCTCACTGGGACCGATTCACTGAACTACTTTGCTCCTCAAGTATGTCTCTTTCTCAAAATTGTAACCCTTGTCGCTGACATAGTATAAGATCTTCGCTATGGTTGGAGTTCCAGCGGGCTCAAGCTCACTTCTGACCACTGGAGTGTACGGTGTGGTCAAGCTTGCGACGACCATCATCTACGTAACAGTCATCGTCGATCGCGTTGGCCGCCGGCTCCCTCTCATTGTTGGTGCCATCATCCAGGCAACGTCAATGCTTTACATCGGCCTCTTTCTTCGGTTCTCCAAAGTTGAGCCTGGCAGCGGAACAACCCCAGGCAGCATCGTAGGCATCATCATGTAAGTTGTTACCCTTCCTCCCTTGGCTGCAGCTTAGATTGACGATTAATCCATCGAATAGGATATATCTTTATGCATTTGGCTGGTCATTCGGCCACTCCGTCGCTCCGTATGTTGTTGCTGCCGAGATATTTCCTTCGAGGATTCGGTCAGTATGCATGTCTTGCTGCCTCTTCACGAACTGGATTGTCAATTATGGCATCACTTCCGCAACTCCTCACATGCTGGCGAAAATGAAGTACGGCACTTTCCTATTCTTCGCCGTAATGACATACATCGGCGCTATTTTTGTCTTCTTCTGCCTTCCGGAACTCAAGGGCCGCAGCATTGAGTCTATGGATGATTTGTTTGCAAATTCCCTTTGGACTATGTTCAAACGCGCATACCCTACTGCTGATGAGAAGGTTCGACACGATGTTCGGGAGCAGCTGCATCAAGAAGAGAACAAGAACGTGCCGCACGTGTCCATGATTGAGGACAGTGGGAAACGAGCATAAAGCAGGCAGAGTTTGAACTAGGAAATTGCCGATAATATAGTTGAGCCATTAATATCTATAGTAGGATCGCTATTCGAATAAAATTGCCATCTATTGGCTAGTTTCCTTATCTTCATGCTACCCTACCAGTTACTGAGTCATGAAAAAGCGCCACTCTGAGACAATCAAGGTTAACGTGTGAAGTCGAGATAACGGAGAACCGGCCTCACCATAAGGAATGGCTAGTAACACTTTCTATTGGTCTTTCAACTTGAGGGCTCACCTTTCAGGGAGGGTGGGAAAGAGTGGGAACAAGATGACAGCCGCGTATCCGCTGTTGCGGGGAAGATATTTCTAACGTACTAGAGTACATCCACCGGCTTGGGTGCTAGAGCAAAACAGGCCAGCGCCCCAGTAAAGAGTGAGCTGAGGAATTCCGTTATCTCTTCCTGCAGTCCACTCATTGTGCGTGGGCCGCCTCCAGGTCCCTCTTTTCCCTCTTGACATCAAGAACCCCCATGTGTCGCCTATGCCATCGGTTACGCCCAACACGCCAGAAACCGTCCTTTGGGGTTATGTGTACATATTCTATGGAGGGCCAAGCCGAAAACGCCGTGGCATCAACCACACAGTCGGAAACCCGACGTCGAAAGGGCTCAAAGCACGATAAAACGGGGTGTCTGACTTGCCGATATCGGTAGGAACCCATGAAATATTGTCCCCACGGCCATTCTTTTGTTGCTAATCTGACATCCTGCGACCCAGACGGAAGAAATGTGTCGAAAACACCTTTCCAACATGCGGTTCTTGTGCTCGTCTGAACTTGAAGTGTGTTCGGTCGTCAGCTCGCGATGTTGTGCCACCAAGCTGGGTTGACCAGAAGCAATCCTTCAAGCAAATAGAACCAACGCCGAGGACTTCCAATGTGCCCGAATCATCGTCTTCTTTCCCACTGTGCTCAACAATGCCCACTGGAGACCATCTCGAGCCCCATCAAAAGCGTCAGGTCATGCGATATTATATCACAGTCTTGTGCCACTACCTGACAGCCAGTGAACAGTTCAACTCGTTCCTATCGGGTAAGTCTCGCGCGAAAATTTGTGGAATCATACCTATGGCTCAATCCGTCTTCCCAGAGTTCTTGCTAACCGAACCTTCCAGCCTTTCTTCCCATGGCCATGGAATCAAATGTTCTATATGACGCACTGGTAGCATTCGCTTCGGGACATTTGTCTCTTTCCAATGAATCTTACAAATTAACTGCCCTTAAGGCTCACTCAACGGCCATCAGCAATTTCACAACAGCCTTGAGCGCGCCCCAGCAGCATGTCACATGGTATGAGACACAAGCGGCAACATGTCTTGCCTTTGTTGTAGGAGAAGTCAGCAGAGGCGACAATCATGGATGGTCTGCTCATCTCCATGGAGCGAAATTACTCATTGAATCGGCTGTCGTCAATACAAGCAAGGGGAGGGTGCTGCGTGGTCCAGATGTCTTCAAGAACAGTTCCGAAGGGCAGTGGATTCTTCGAAACTTTGCATATCATGACATTATCGGCAGCGTCACTCTAAGGAGACGACCTTTGCTTGACTGCGGCTATTTGGATGGCATCACAGATGTTGTTGATACATACCTAGGCGTTGCCACAGATCTACTCCGTCACGTCGCAACTCTTAGCATTCTTGACGAAGAAACAAAGCTTGGACCCGAATTTGCAGCTGAGGATATATCAAAAAGAAAAGCACTCTTCTACGTCACATGCTCAAAAGTCGAGCAAGACTTGCAGCATTGGCAATGCCGGCATGATGCCGCTCCAGAACTTGCTGCTATGGCATACGCTTTCAGGGGCGCAGTTTTAATAATCTTGTACCGACTCATTCGGGATCGACTCACCTCTGAGGGCGATGGCAAAGGTGGAAGATTCACTGCTCCGGGATGGAACACACTACCGGCGAAGATACGTACTCAAGTATCGAATATCTTGAGGCATGTCTCAGATATATCCATTGGCTCTCATACCGAATCGGCTATACTGTTTCCACTTTTTCTGGCTGGTAGCGAGGCTACAGAGGACGGACATATGGATGCAGTCCGCGTCCGCTTGCAGATGACGTTGCAAAAGCGGCAATTTCAGAACATTGCACGGGCTTTGACTATCTTGGAAGATTTGTGGCAAAGAAGGCAGGTTGCGGGTACAGGTCAGGTTGACTGGACAGACATTCTGGACGAGACCGGAGAACACCTTTTGTTAACGTAATTACTGCACCGTCAAGTTTGCTCTTGCTTAGCACTCAGTAAAAATCACGTCTTTATCAGATCGGACCCTATTCTCGGCCGTACTTTCTTACCCCGCCTTGCGCCGATATCGGGCGATACGCCAGATACGCTGTGCAGATAGATGCACAGCACGCCTTGAACCCACTTGAAACCAATGCTTTCCGGTCCTCGGAGTTATTTAATCGAACGAAAGGGTGTAAAGGATTGGTGATTTTCAATAGCGAACCCCCCCAGCGTGCAACTTTTTAATCTCCGATTATACCTTTTGCCAGTCTCGAAAAAACGGTGTGCTGAAATGGCTACTGACCCACAAGGTATCGTCGAGGCCGTCTCGAAAACCGGCCCTGCAAGCAAACTCGCAACTGAAGCAACCGGAAAGGGGGCTCCTGTTACCAGTGCTGTTCTTTATCGCTCGATCAAAAGTGTACCGCCGCAGGTCGTCTCAGCAAATGGAAATCATCTGACTTTTTCCGATGGCCGAACCATCCTTGATACAACCTGTGGTGCTGCCGTCGCATGCATAGGCATGAACAACGAGCGAGTGAAAAAGGCGATGGTTGAGCAGATTGACAAGTTTGCTTATTGCAATTCTACGTTCTTTGGTCATGAGGTTGGCGAGCAGCTGGCGGCTGAGCTGGTACAAGGCACTGGGGGTGCTATGTCGAAAGCCTTCATCATGTGCTCCGGTAAGAGATGGGCGCGGATTTGCCTTTTTGGACAAAGCCTGCTAAACGTTTGTCACAGGCTCTGAAGCAATGGAGGCTGCAATGAAAATGGCGCGGCAGTATTACTTGGAGCTATCCCCACAACAGCCCAAACGCGTCAACTTCATTGCCAGGGAAGGCTCATATCATGGGACGACTCTGGGCTCGCTCTCAATGAGCGGTCATGTGGCTCGGCGGAGCCTGTTCTTAGATCTTCTGCTACCCAACATCGGTAGAGTCTCGGCTTGTAATGCGTATCGTGGAATGACAGAAGGCCAAACGACGGAAGAATACGTCGCACAACTAGCGGATGAGCTAGACCGCAAATTCCAAGAACTGGGACCTGACACAGTGTGCGCGTTTGTTGCTGAGCCCGTCGTTGGCGCTGTAGGATCTACCACAACATCTTTTAAGAGTGTAGCTGTGCTGATTTCTGGATACAGACTCTGGGTTGTGTCCCAGCTGTTCCTGGGTACTTCAAGGCCATGAAAAGTGTTTGCGACAAATACGGTGCTCTTCTGATTTTGGACGGTTAGGGCCTATCATCCAACCAAATGCTTTCGAATAAAGCTGCTAACCTGTTCTCAGAGGTTATGTCCGGAATGGGTCGTTCAGGAACGCTGCATGTATGGGAGCAAGAAGATGTGGTGCCTGACATACAGACGATTGCGAAAGGACTTGGGGGTGGTTACGCGCCGATGGCTGGTATGCTCATCAACCACCGCGTAGCTGATGCTCTCAAAGATGGATCTGGGTAGGCTTCTACTACAATTCGACTGTGCAGGAATATTGCTAACTATAAGGGTTAAAGAGCTTTCTCTCATGGACACACTTATCAAGGCCATCCTGTGGGATGTGCTGCGGCCTTGGAGGTGCAGCGTATTATTCGAGAAGAGAACCTGGTTGCAAATGTTCGCAAGCAGGGCGCCCTCCTGGAAAAGCTCTTGAGGGAGCATTTGAGTGAGCATCCCTATGTTGGCGATATCAGAGGAAAAGGTCTCTTCTGGGGAGTAAGTTGACAGAAATCCTTGCGAGAAACCGTGGATCAATTAACCAAGTCGTGTTTGTAGATTGAGCTTGTCCGCGACAAAAAGAGCAAAGAGCCCTTCCCACGATCAGCAGACATAGCCAACAAAATCTATCTCAATGGCTTGGACAAGTTTGGAATAAGCCTTTTCCCTGGAAATGGGACAAAGGACGGAAATCTGGGCGACCACGTTTTTCTTGCGCCGGCTTACACAAGCACCAGCGATGAGATTGAGTACATCGCTGCGAGGACCAGAGACGCCGTTTTCAAGACGTTTGATGAGCTTGATGCCAGTTCTGATGGTTCTACTTGATTGGAATCGGCATCGGAATGCCCATGACGAAGATGAATGCATGCTGCAATGGCAAAGGCTTTTGGATCACCCCGTAAACCTGAAACTGGCGGATTACAACATTATGCTTTGCCTTATGTCTATATACTCACAGACTAATCATTTATTTTCTTATATTTGATCGAAGTTGGCGGCCTTTTCTATTGGAGGGCTTCAGCCAAATTGATATTAGTCAATTGATCATTCAATCTCCTGGCCATGAGTTCGACTATGTGAAAAATGTAGCGCAGATGGATGCGACGACTTTCCTAGTATATCCCTGCTCTTGTCATCCAGAGTAATTGATATGCACCGAGCTTTAAATGCAGATACGTATGATAATTATCTTTGATAGCTACGCTGAATCCTCCAATCCATTGCACGTGAATACCCAGCTCACAATACCCATTCTTCTGTGCATGTTCCATGATGGAACCACAGTTCAAAATGGCCTTTCAGCATGTCTGGATCAACTGCTTTTTAGTAGGTAATTATATATTAGTTTGAATCGAGTCAACTGACAGTGAGAAACATGATTACTACGTTGGTGGAACAAGATGAGGTAAAATTGCTTCGATCCTACCTGTCTTACTTGAGTCGGATTGTTGGAAGATTCGTGTTATTATGTAGGTGAAGTTTACTTACCAAGTTGACCCAACTCACCTATACGCTTTCTACCTCTGAAGGCGAGCTGTAATGCGGCCGCTTCTTTCGTGATAGCCGCCTTCAAGTTGTCAGACCTCAGGAGATAGAATATGCATGGAAGGCTACAACCATTAAGCTTGCCGTTCATCTCAGTCCTTACGCTTTGGTTCCCGAGAACAGCCGTACAGACGACAGCGAAAGTACATGAGACGCCACCTTCTCCAACGATGGTTTTGTGAGACCCAACTTGCACTTTGGCCTTCCCAACTATCCTGCCTTGAGTCATGATGATTCAAGGGCTAGATGTCTTAGCACAGGCGAAGAGCACAAGTCTCTAGACTTGTCACTATCGTGGTCATACTATCCTCACCCTACCCTCGGTTTTGGAAAGCTTGTGCTAGTCTGAAGGTTTTCGACATAAGCACTCCAAGCACTATTTACCTACCTGTGAGCCTTTCTGAGCAGCGTAGGCTAAATTTGCGACATACCTGATGGGATTTCATTCATTGAAAGCATGTCCTTCTTGGATGACAAGCGGTCGTGATATTAAGGCATCGATTGTCAACAAGATCTAGAATGTAGAACCGTAGAACTTCATATGAACGAAGCGAGAGACGAGCATACATATAACAAACTATGGCCGAAAGGTAATATGTAAGCAATACGAACCTGATCTTTATGTCTGGTTGGTTTCTGATAAATAAACAAAAATAATCGCCTGAACATTCTGACAGTAACCAGTTATACGCTGATCCCAAGTAACTTCAGGCGTGTCGTGATATCCCTGATCCAGCCTCCGTTCCGCTTCTTGCGAAATCGGTCTGTTAAGGAAGAGATGAAATTGATTCTTGGCGTTGTGGAATCGCCTTCTTCCAATTTAAGCCTAACTAAAGCTTCTTGCCTTTCGAGGTGGAATTACCAGCGCAACAAAAATCCTGTCCCCGGGTTCGATCTCACCTAATCCGGAAAGAGGTCAGTAGATTAGACTACATTTCGGTATATGGACGGTGCTCGGTAGTGTACCTCTGATTCCGGATCAATGTCCATGACCCACGAAATGAAACTTGCCGAGCTTGCCGAGGTAGAAGCTGGCAGATTGATGAATGGATGAATGCGTGCGAAGAACTGTCGATTGCAGACATCTCCAACTGTTACTGTATTACCCAACCTCTGTGCGGACCTCTGTCAAATCAAAACAATATCATCAATCAGAGTAAAAGAATACAAATGGGGATTTATCTGCCTTGATGCGATGCTCACAAACGATCCACTCTTCATTCTCCAACTTTGAGACGACCACACTTTACGTGGCCATTCCTTTTTACAAGAGGATGTATAAGTGTTGCGATGTTGACCATCGCGGATAAATATCGGAGTTATTAGGTTAACCCCAATGACTCATCGCCGGCAAATCCTCAGATATTTAGCCATAGAATTCTCTAGGGATTTATAGGCAATAAGTTAGTTATTTAACTAACTAACCTACAATAATTATCCTTTTTTTTTTATATATAATAAAGAACTATAGTTACCCCTATTATTTATTAATTACTACTAATATATATAGTTAACTATATTAACTTATCTTTTAGTGTTACTAACACTAATTAATAGTTAACTTTACTATTAACTATATAGGTTAACTTTACTATTTAAACTATAGATTAGTAAGGTCTATAAGAAAAGGTAATTATTACTAGTTAATTATTTATATACCTAGAGTAAGTAAGTACTAAAAAATACCTCTATAAATACCTTTACTATAATAGTTTATACTAATTACCTATTATAATAGGTTAATTAATAGATCTATAACTAGTCTTTTTAACTAGTAGAAACCTTATTAATTTATACTTATTATATAAGCTTTATTACTTTTAGAGAAGCACTTTTAACTATAAAAAACCTTTTACTTTATATACTTATAGCTAACTAGTAATTATTTACTATATCCTATTTATTATAAGCTTTTTAGCTTACTAACTTCTTTTTTCTATATATATACTTCTTTTACTAACTAATAGTATTAATAAGTTACTAATATAATAGCCTATTATTTCTTTTTTTTACTAACTAATAGTATTAATAAGTAGCTAATATAATAGCCTATTATTTTTCCTTAAGTTATTTACTTATAAAAGTGTATTTTTCTTTAGCTGTTTATACTACTAGTAGTAATCCCTCTAATAAATATATATACCTTTTAGTCTACTAGAAGAAACGCCTATATTTAAGAGGTTATTAGGCTAATAGAGTATAATAGTAAATAATACTATACCTATAAGTAAAAGACCTAAGCTAAGATAAGTAAGTATAATAAGCTTATAAGTAAGTAAGGCTTATAAGCTACTACTTTATTACCTATAAGGTAATAAGAAGAGGTTTATAGTAAGTATAATATATTACTTTACATAAAGTAGTAAGTAGTAGTAATTAATAATATATTTACTATACTTATTAACCTTATATAGTATATTCTCCTATAGTAATAAAGAAAGGACTATATTAAGAAGTTACTAAATAACCTTATAAGTAAGTAATAAGCTTTTATACTTAATACTATTACTATATTTTATATTAGTAGTTATAAGTACTATAACTATATTAGTAGTAAATTACTTTACTATACCTATAAGGATTTTAGTAAATAGTCTATAAATAACTTTAAGATAATTAACTAAAAGGTCTTAATAAGCCTATATAACTTTTTTATTAATTATAGTATATAGGTTAACTATAGTAAACACTTATTAATTACCTAATGTATATTTAATACTTTTTAATAAAAGGAAGACACCTACTAGACTAATAAGATAATTACTATTATTAAAAGATAATTATATAACTTTAAACTATACCTTAAAGACCTTAACTTTATTAAGAATATCTAAGGTTATAATATAATCCTATATAGTAAAAAACTAGCTAAAGTACACTTATTACTAGTAATTACCTATTAGACCTTTTATAATAACCTAACTTTTACTTTACTATTACCTTTATTAACACTAAAACCTTATATAATAGCTAAAATTAATAGCCTATATATAATAACTACTATACTATAGTAAGAGCTTTTATTAACTATAGTAATATTAATAGTAATATTAAGGCTAACACTAAAGTAAATAAGTAACTTTATAAAGATATACTTTAATAACTAGGCTATAAAATACACTAGTAGCTAGTATAAGACTATTAACTTAAAATTACTATTATTCTATAACCTTTATGTCTAGGTAAGTATAATATAAGACTACTATAGAGTAGTAATTTAAGTAATACTCTAAGGTAAACTATAAAAGTATTATACTTTTACTTTTTACTAATAGGTAAGTAATTTTAATACTTTAATAGTAAAGCTTAAAGAATAATTTAAAGGTAATAAAGTATACTTAGCCTATATTACTAAGCTTTACTATATATTATTTAACTTAATTACTTATAAAAACTATAGTAAGAATAAGCTTAAGATTCTTAAGTTACTTATTAAAAAGGTTACTAAACTAGTTAAAGTAACTACCTATAATAGCCTACTTAAGAATAAAGATTATTATAAGTGCCTTATTATCTATTACTATAGTATACTTAAGTGTACTATAGCTCTTTTTAACCTACTAGCTATATTCTATAGCCTCTATATATAACTATATAATAAAGTAGTAAATACTTTACTTTACTATAAGCTACTTATATAATACCTTATAAATAAATCTACTATAGAAGATAAGTAATTTTAGGTTAACTATAAGTATAATAGTAGCTATAATAATTACACTAATCTATAGTAAATATAAGGTTCTTTATAAAGTAACTACTAGAGTAAAAACTAGTGTAGTAATAAATTAACTAAGAAGTACTTTATCTATAGTAAGCCTAGTTATTAGTTAACTAAATATACTAAAAAAGAATAGTAATCCTTATTTAACTAGTATAAAAGCACTTACTTTATATAAGCTTTACTAGCTACTTTTAACTACTTTTTTCTTAACTATAAAGGTTATAATATAAGTTATCTCTAAGAAGTAAGTAATAGTAATAAATAACTTACTAGTAATAGTAATAACTATATAAATATAGTATTCTTTATATCTACTATTTTCTTTATATAACTATTAATTAATAGCCTAACTATATTCTTAGAGCTATATAACTAAGTAACTACCTATATACTTACTTATAAGAACCTACTAAAGGAGCTATTACTTAGTAAGACTATAAAAACTAATAAAATATTTACACTTAATAAGTGCTATTTAGTAGTAACTTTTTATAGTATTATACTTAACACTAGTATAGCTAAGAAATTAACTACTAGCTATAAGTAATACTTTACTTTTTAGTATTACTTAAGTAAAAAGATACCTATAGATACTACCTAAGTAAGTAAAGTAAGTATTTACTTTAGTAGTAGTAATTACTTTAAATCCCTAGGGGTAATTAATATACTTATACTACTTAGTAACCTTGTTTTTTATATAATAACTACTAATACTTTATTTTTTTTTTACTTAAAGGATATAGACTATTATAGTATAAAATTTAATAACTTTACTAACTAGCTAATCTAG